TACAGCGCGCTTCTCCGGGTACGCATTCCTGGCGGTTCTCCCCAGTGTTGCATCACCTAGTAATCGACCTGCTGCCTCCACCTCGACCATTGGTTTTGGCCTCCTCAAATTATTATGCGTTTTTGCCTATATATGCAAATTGCAAAAACGCATATTGCGACGATCCTGTCTGTGCGCGTGTGTATGTTTGTGTGTGCGTGTGGGTGTGAGTGTGTGTGTGTATGTTTGTGTGTGTATGTGTGTGCGTGTGTCTTCGTTTGTCCGGGTATTTCAACTCGGCAACCAAGCAGTTTCCAGCGCCAAGATTTTGCCAGTACGTTCCCCGGCCAGGAGCCACCCCAGAACTGCGGCACCAACCCTCACGCAGTCTGGACCCCGCGTGCGAGGAAAGGATGAAATTTTTGGCGGGAAAATTGATAACTTGGGAACGAGAAAAGAAAGAAAGCTGAAATTTTGAGGTTATGTTCCCCGTCCATAGATAACTCAGAGATTTTAAATTTAGCCAGGCATGCGCGGTTCTCACGTACTGCCCCGTGAAGTTTTTTGGCGGGAAAATGGCTAACTCGGGAATAGCAAGGCTGGGAGGCTGAAATTTTCAGGGAATGCTCCCAGCCCATACACAACTTAAATTTATCAAATTCAGCCCTCAGGAATGCGCGATTCTCGTGTACGGGCACTTAAATTATTGGCGGGAAAATCACTCACTGAACAGCTTAGTCATTTTCAAATAAAAACGACCGCTAAACGGAAATTGTTTATTTCCCTTTAAGCAAAATTTACGATGATTTAAGGTGTTAAGCGCACAAGGAAGGTGTGAAGAAACAACCGTTCATGCGGTTAACCTAATGCATGATCGCACCGGCTCGTCTGGTGCATTCCAGCCTGGGTTAGAGTTAACTTCGATTTTACTGAATCACTGGTGACTGTAAGTTTAGAGGGAAATTGGAAATACGCCTCAAAAAATTTCACGGAAATTTGAATGGTTCTTTGTTCATGTATACTGTTTATATGGGTGGTTTTTTGGCTGTTGTCTTGGATTCGTCGCAGTGAGACTCGTTCCGCTCAAAGCGCATTGCAACGACGACTCTAGTAGCTGACACCCTTTTTCTCGAAAATTGAAATCCTCCCATCAAGCAATTACCATTACAAATCTACCAGAAGCCAAACGAGACCAAGTTGACAACCAGTAACAAAAGAGGCCTTCAACACCTCATGCGTTTTTCGGTGGCGATTACTAAACTCGGCTTGGCTCAACCAGTTTGAGGGACGAGTTGCGGTGATTGGGGGAATGATGGGCAGTAAAGATGCGAATAAGGAAAGCGAAGTTTGGGGGTGGTTTTTTGGTCCCCGACAACAGAGGAGATGGGGGAGGGGACTGGGATGTTTGCTGGAAAGGAGCTGAGATCTTGCTTTGAGGTTGGAGTTCGAGAGAACGCTGAATGAATGAGAGCTGATAAGTTTTTGTTCCAAAGTCTTACTGAAACAGAAAATCCTCCGCCACTTCTCTGCTATTATGTTTTCCGCAACTCTCACTCAAATACATGGCGAGCGCATTTTCGTCGCTTGCATATTGTATGGCCGAGCCGAGCCGAATTTTACAATGAAAAGGAAATTTCCCTTTGCTCTTGCATTTGTATAATCTGAGAGCGGTTAGAGGGAATTTTGGGAATTTAAAGGAATTACCTCTGTCCGGGGTTTCTGTAACAGTTCATCCATG